ATACGTAGTAGGACCATCAGTATATATCTGAACTATAGCAGTGGTGAAGACTAAAACATATGGTTATTGCTGTTTTAATTTTTATGCTCGAAGAACCTTATTTATGGGAAACTACCAAAATGTGGAAAAGCTATTCCAAAAATGCTACTATATATGCATAGAGTTTGCCAGATTTGGATGTTTTCCTTTCCTTTTTTTCCTCTTTTCCCACAGTCCCTGGATTAACCACATGATTAAGAATAGCATTTTAAACTGATCTCATTACTTACTAAGTTTGTGATGAACTCCCTCCATGCTTCAACTTTACGGTTTCTGTTTTTAGATACCAAATTGTAAAGTTTTCTTATCTGCCACCTGATTTCCCTCTGCCTCTGAGCAATTCTGATTTCTAGAAGACAATATTCTGGGAATGAGTTTTATTTCTTCCTTGTTAGCTCTTAGATTTATAAGAATTATATTGGATTTTTCCTCCATTTCAAAAGAAGATGATAATTCTATCTATGCTGTAGGGGCTCTTAGTCATTTTATGTGCCTATTGATTGACTTCACTATCCTTTTTGGCTTAAACTCACATTTTAAGTGCCTAAATTTATGACCATGATTAAGATTTCAGAGCAGGTCAGTCCTCAATCCTTGATGACAAACATGATTGAAAAGAAAACAAACCTGGGTAGCATCCATGTCTTGAGCTCAAACTATTTTGAAAGGAGTCTTCTCTAGATTCAGGAAATCAGTCCTGATCCCAGAGGCCAAAGAGGTCCTCTCACAACGAATGACATAGGACTTCTCCACTGTTACTTTGGTCACAGTAAGGGTAAATGTTTTTATGTTAGAGGTTCTAGGATGAGCCTGCTTCTTAAACATCTATCTTGGACACACATTCAATTGGGCCTGAAAACCTATGCCAGAAAGCTAACCCAGCCAGAAAGCTAACCCAGGTAACTCCTTATTCCTTAAGGCGTCAATGCTCAGAGGCAAACTCATGATTAAATACATAGTTACTAGTTACAGCTCTGCCCGCAAGCCCTTCTGGTGATCCGTGATGGATCAAGAATAGGGACAAGGATCCTGGGTATTCCTTAAGTAGCTCAAGATGTTGGTCTCTTTGCCCTGGGATCCTTCCTGATCACTTTTGGATCTACTTAAGGAAGGAATATCTCATTACCAGTAGGAAGAAACATTTGTCATGTCTTAACTCTTTCACATCCTGGGACGACTCAAAGAGTTCTAGTTTGAAAGTCCATCTCCAAAGATTCTATTATGTTAGACCTAGTTCTCCTTAGAATTGGTATGGTGAAGTAGAAGGACATGTTGAGTTTCCTCTAAAAGTTAGGTTAACCAAACTATTGTATCAATACCTACTTATATATTTGTGCCTCCCAAGTAAATTATGCAAAATCCATGTTTTATTCATCTTTGAATCTTCAGTGTAGGCATAGGGACTGCCCTATAATAGATGTCCAAAAACTATTTTTGAATGAATGAATGAGTTAATAAGGAGAAAAAATGAAGGTTCTTTCCTAGGGATTGTTAGATCTTAAAAAGAAAAAAACAGTATCAGAAAGAAGCTTCAATTATTATAACATTAGATCTAAAAACCAAGCTCAGAAAAAAAGCACCACTGATTATAACCCATTTTCTCAGACATTTCTGTAGAGTTTATCTATCTAGCATTCTTGGCTAGCAGAAATAGTATTGCTGCCAATAGATTTTTGATAGTTCCAAAGTATGTTTTCTGTTTGTTTTCTACTTGTATCCTAGGAAATCTTCAAATCCCAGTAGCTCCTGGATAAGTTAGAATCTTCACCTTTGCATTTCTCAGAGTTCATAGTAGGAATGCCTGTGGCACAGAATCAGCTTTGTTTCACTGGTGGTAGAAAAATCAAACACCCTGAAAGTGGTTCTTCGAAATTTATTCTTCTTGTCTCTACAAGAAATTCACATGCAATTCTCCAGAATCCCACAATAACAATAAAAGCCAACATTTATTGTGTGTCTCCTGAGGCTGTCCATGACATACATTATCTCACTGAAACCAAGCAATTCAATGAAGTAGGGTAATATTTGTAACCCCGTTTTGCAGATGGGAAGCTGTGTTATGGACAAGTCATGTAACTTGTTAGTAATGTCACCCAGTTAGAATGGCAGAGCTTGCTTTGCCCCCAATAGCCTGGTGTGCCATTACACTATTTATTAGTGTCCTATCCTAATACTCAAAACAGTTTAGGGGAATTACCATTAATTTTACAATAAATCTAATCACGGATGAGTGTGTGAGGCAAGAGGGAAAAGAAATTGGCCACCATAAGATTGTGTGGGTCTGTGAAACTCTATGCGTCCTTGAAGCCCCCACATCTATTTCTGATATTCTACAGATATATATGAAAAAACTCCACTGGCTATTATAAGGTAAGTAAGCCTCTTTGCCCTCATCTTCATGGTACCCCTTCCAAATATTCTTATCCATACACATGTTCACATACTTTGAGAACTACAGGTTCTCTGGCTTGGGACTTGGACATGTAGTAAAACTATCAAAGGAGTTATGGGCTTGACAAGCTTAGGTAGATTTTGTTTGATATCTTCAGTTATAAATTGGTCTCGGTCTCTGAATAAGACCCTGGTCTTGAATATGCTAAAATATGCCAAGGTTGCACAGAAGTGGGCAGAAAAGGGCTTGCTTTAATTGGTCTTGTGTTTAGTTTTTTGCTGGCCCTAAGTTGTCTAATATAGTCTTCCTTTGGGCGTTTGCAAGCTCTGGTCTTGTCAAGACCCTGGACTATACTGGTCCATTTTATCCCTCTTCTGGGTTCTGGGTTGGACTCGCCTGGTCTCTCATCTAGATGAAATGAAGGTTTTGTTCAGCAAGGTTTTGAGCCCTTATGAGGTTCTGGGACAGATTCTTTTCAGGATTTGCTGGTATGAATTCTGGATTATTTTCTTAGTTGAGACCTTGTAGGAATGTGTCTTCCTTGCCGTGCTTGCTGTATTAGGCTTTGAGTTTTGGCTAGCCTCTAGCTGGATTGGGCTAAAAGTGGACTGGTGTTTAAACTTCATGCTAGGCTTGGGTGTAATTTAGGAAGGATTATGATGGTTCAGAGCCCTGAAAAGAAATTAGCTCATTTCTTTTCAGGGCTCTGAATTGATCAGAGTTGGGTTGTAGTTGTGTTTGACAAGTTCAGTTTATGCATTTGGGTGGCTGTTAACAGGATTTCAAGGGAGGTACTGGATTAAACTGATTTTCAAGTTAGTTTCTCCTTGGCCACTTTCGTGCTCATCTGCTCTGGGCAAGGGGAACGCAGGGAGGAAGGGGGTCCAGCCTGCTATGGGGTATTTTAGCCTCCTCCCAATTATTTTTTCCTGAGAGCAATAATTCCCAAAGTTTAGGTGTCAATAGGTGTTGTCTGAAAGAAACAGTTTCAGGGTCAAGTAAGTCTGGAAAATACAGTTAAACATATTTTAAAGGTATTCTCAAAGCGTTAATGTGATAATAGACATTTTCTGCTTATCTATTATTGCGTCACAAGTTACCTCCCATATCAGAGACTTAAAACATTAACGAACAATAATTATCTCATAAATTTCTGTGGGTCAGGAATCTGGGATTGGCTTAGCTGAGTGTTCCTGGTTTGGGGTCTCTCATAGGACTATATCAAGATGTTGACGGCAGCTGCAGTCATCTGCCAGCTTGGCTGGGGCTGAGGGTCCTCTTTCAAGGTGAGTGAGTCACTCACATGGCTGACTATCAGCAGAGCATCTCAGTTTCTTGCCACATGGATGTCTCCATACAGCTCCTTAAGTGACCTTTTTGACAGGGCAGTGGGCTCCCCAGAGCAAGTTACCCAAGTGTGCCAAAAGGAAACCACAATATCTTCTATGACCTTGCCTCAGAAGTCACACATCATCATTTCTGCCATACCTCATCGACTGTTCACAAATCAGTCTTATTCAGTGTGTGTGTATGTGGGGGGGTGTTAACACCAGGAGAGAAGGGACATTGAGGATCCTTTTAGAGGCAGGCTGCTTCAGTGCCTTACGAGTCCCCGAAACTTATTAGACAACAAAATGATAGTTTAATGAAGCATTCCAAGACATTAGCGTTCCTCAGTACAGCTGGTGGGGGAAAACGACCATGGATGGTCACACTGTAGACTAAGTGTCTTAGAGGATTACAAATGAGGGGAAGATGTATGTCTGGAAGAATAAGGCTAGAAGGCTGAGGACTCCCCAGGTGGAAGATCTATGAAGCTAAAACTGAGTTCCTACCTGGATCCACTGTAAAGAGGACCCCTCACTTCAGAGAAGCTAGCACAGACAGGACTCCCCTCCTAGTCCCAAATGATTTGGAAGGTCCATACTCTTGTAAGTTGTTTACTCCCTCTGTCCTAAATCAAAGATAGGGTTGAAAAAAGTCAAAGTTCACAGACTGGAAAGAAGAATCACAGAATCTCTAAAATTTGGAGATGGGAGTCCATCTAGAACGCCCCTGGGTTCCATGCCGGGAGCAATCTTTTCTTTGGGACTGTTTATGCCAAGCCACAAGACTGGACCCCAAGAGACTCTTTTGTGATCTGTACTAATAGTACAGTAAGGTCACTGGGATGAGTCAGATCTCCAAGTCTCTGTTCTTCTCTACTTCACTTGCACAAAGGCAGTTTTGGGAAGGTCCCAGCCCCAGGGTCGGAGCCAAGGTGCTTGGAGGAAGTAATTTTTCATCAGTGTTTATAGCGACCTTATCAATAGATGTAGGATAGGAAAGGAGAGGGTAGGGATGAAAAGGTTAGAGAATGAGCGAGAAGTAGGAATTTGGGGAAGAAATAATAGAGAAAGAAAAGGAGACGCGTGAGAAAAAAAAGACTGAGAAAGCACGCACAGCTCCACTCGCGCAAACGCCAAAGGGCGCTTTGGCCATCGTTGGCCACAAGGTGGCACCCTTTGAACTTTCTTCCCTCCCCCCCCCCGCCACCCCAACCAAAAAACTGAGCCCGGGGAGGGGGGGCGAGAGGAGGGAGAAAAGGCAAAGCACTCTCCCAACCGAGAACAATTTGAAAACCCACCCCGTACTATTTAAAAGCTGGGACAAAGAAGCGTCAAGACGGAGCTGCTTCAGCTGCGAGACGTCGGCGGAGCCTCCGGAGGGGTCCGCCGCCCGAGCCAGGAGCAGCCCCTTTAAAAAAGCGGAGTACAGTATTGGGATTCTTGAAACCTGAAACCTAGAAACAGAATCGAAGCGGAAACCAGAAGGAAAACCTTGAACTCCTCCAGACAATTGCTTCCGGGGAGTTCCAGGAGCGCGAGGGGGAATAAAGGGCCCGCGAGCAGGGCCCCTCGGATGGCGCGTCCCTGAGGGTCGTGGCGAGTTCGAGGCGCGCGGGAAGCAGAGGACCCTACCCTCTCCCTGGGCTGCAGGTCATGGCCACCGTGGAGCAGAAAGCCCTCGGCATTGGCTTCAAGTGTCTCTCCTTGGCCACTTTTGTGCTCATCTGCGCCGGGCAAGGGGGACGCAGGGAGGAAGGGGGTCCAGCCTGCTACGGGGGATTTGACCTGTACTTCATTTTGGACAAGTAAGTGTCTCGAGTTGTTGCATCCTGGGCTCCGCGGGTGATGCTCCTTGCCGGGCTGGGCTTGTTGGCAGCATCGCTCTGGGACAGGCACGCGCTTTGGGGGAGCCGAAGCAGCCCTGCACTGCGGCTCGGTCGCGGAGCTCGCCTCCCCATCCTTTGCTGCCGGAGACCACCGGGGCGTCACTGCTGGTTGGCGGGTGGAAAATACCTACTTTCCGCCTGGCTTTCTATGCCCGAGGAGCATGTAAGGGACTGTGAGGATGCTGTTGACCTAACACGTTTCTGTGAATCCTTCCCATTGCTTTAGAAACCTGGTGAGAAGGGCGTGCTTTGGAGAGGTAGAACTTACAGGCTCCGCGGGAGTGGGCTTTGAAAAGTCCGTGGTGTCTTTAAACAAAAACAACGACAACAAAAAACACATGCTGCCGTGCCTAAGGCATTGCCTTTGTTCTTGATAATGCACTGCACGCTGACTGGGCAATTAGGGGAAAAAGAAGGCGGATTTCTCAACCCTAGACACTACTGGGTTTTAGGCTGAGGAATTCTTTGTTGTGGAACTATCATGTGCACTGCACGGTGTTCGGCAGTGTCTCTGGCCTCTCCCCGAGTAAGCCCGCTCCATGCTCCCTCTCCCTCTCCACCACAGACACCCCCCACCCCCACCCCACCCCCCAGCCCCAGTCCTGCGTTGGCGACGACCGAAATTGTTGCCAGAGGTTGCCAAAAGCTCCCTGTGGATAAATTCCCGCCGGCCCCTCCTAGCCTTGGGACCTCTGATTGAGACGGATTTAAGTTCTTGGCAATTCCACTGGTGGGCTACCAAGGAGGTGCAGGAGCCCTGGTTTCCTTACCAAAAGGGATAGCCCTTAGGCTTCAGGTCTGTGCTCAAGGGAGAGCTGTACTCTGACCAGTTAAACACTTCCCAAATCCCCTTAGATTTGCCAAGCCACAGTCATTCAAGGAAGCGTTATGCTATCTACTAAAACCCAGCTTCAACAGTAAAAAGCCCCCCAGAGAAGATCCACGCTCATGAAAACTATGTGAGCTCTCTGGTGCCAGGAGAGGCGCTTGCTGTAACAGTGGTGGGGAGATGAATTTCACAGACTGGAAAGTATTTGGGAGTTGGAAAAAGGTCTGCAAAATAAGCTGGCCAGTGAGACACCAAATGTGCTTTGCAGTTGCCCCTGGAGTTTGATTTTTCCGTAAGGGCTGTTTTGAACTCCAGATTCTTTGGATGAAAAGTGAGATCTCTTTCTTAGAGATTTTATGAGAAGGCGGATACCGAAAATATACTCCAAAACTAAGAAATGGAATTTCTTTTGTTACTTCTAGTGGCTGAAGCAACAGCTCACAGATTCAGAGACTATGTCTGAGAACAGTTAGAGGTGCCCATCACTTACTGCCCACCCCCCCGAAAAGCCAGTTGGGCAGGACATACAGGAAGACTTGAAAGAAAAATGGGCAGAACCACCAAGTCCCTGAATGGAATGACTCTATACTGTAGAAATAATCAGGTTCTCCCCAGATTAATTTGAATTGAATTGAACTTTTAAATCAAAGTTCTGAAAGCATTTATTTTGGTGGGAAGAGGAATTTAACAAAATGATTCTAAGTTTATCCTAGAGAACAGAAACCTGGTAAGAAGAGGTAAAACATTTTTAGAGAAAGATAATGAAGGCATACCTGTAAATATTAAAATGTGTCAGAAGGCAAATTATGACACATAGGATGGTAAAAGCCAAAGAACAGGTAGACAGGGTAGAAAATCTAGAAAGAAATCCAGGGTCATGAGAGCATTTAGTGGGAGTTCAAGTTGGTGGGGAATTAATTTGTTATTTTAAAATATGATTCTTGGGGTGCCTGGGTGGCTCAGTCAGTTAAGTGTCCAACTCTGGATCGCAGCCCAGGTCTTCATCTCGGGGTCTCCATGCTGGGTACTTGGGAAAAAAAAAAAAAAAAAAAAAAAAGATTCTTAAACAAATGGTTGGTAACATAGGAAAAGAAAAAAAGTTTAGGTTTATGTTTTAAACCACACAATAAAATAGATTCCAGAAGGCCCGAAAATTTAAATGTTTACAATGAAAGGATAAAACAACCAGAAGAGAATTTAAACGACTATTACTGTAATCTTAGGTTTAGAGCTTTTAAAATAGGACAGAAGCAATAAAGAAAACTATGAAAATATTTACATATATTCAAGTTTCCCATTTCTGTAAGTGAAAAAATGTCAGAGATAAAAGATAATAAAAAGTTACAAGAACTTTTGTAACATCCATTACTCCTCAAAGATTGACCTGAATGTATAAAAAAGAAAAAGTTTTAAAAAGATGAGTCCAGTAGAGAACAGTAAACAAACAAAAAATGTCAACTTCACTAGTAATCAAAAAAGAAAAAAATCAAACAAGATGTAGTTTTTATTAAGTTGGCAAAGGTTTTTTTTTTTTAATTATAATATTCAATATTGGCCAACTTGTGGGAGGTAAGCACTTTCATATCTTACTAAGGAAAATAGGAATTTGTATAGTATTTCTAAACTGGTGATGTCCAGTGGAATTTTCTGTGATGATGGAAGTGTTCTGTACCTGCTTTGGGCAGCTGGTGTCTACTAGCCGTAAGTAGCTATGGATCCTTGAAATGGGGCTAGTGTGAACAAGGAAGTGAACTTCTTATTTTGTTTATTTTCAATTAATTTTAATTGAAACAGCCCCATGTGGCTACTGTACTGGGTAGTACAGACAAGAAGGTAATTTGGCAACATGTGTCAAATGCTTTAAAAAAAAAAATGGGGTTCTACTTTTCCATCTAGTAATTCTATGTCCTAAAGGAAAAACCCAAGATGATCTCAAACAAATGACTCCATATATGTTCCTGGCAATGCTGTTTGTAATAATAAAGCTGAAAATGACCTAGATGTATAACCATAGTGAATTAAGTGAGGCATGGTGTAGCCAATGACTGCATATGCCTATTGGATGTGCTCAGAATGTACCCTTAGGTGAAAATTACAAGCACCAATGTTGTGTACATTATGGTGCTACCTTTGTAAAAAAGCTAAATACACAAGTGTGTTTCTTGTTTTACCTAATCTGTAATTGTACTTCTATCTAGAAGATATTTAAATTTTTTGTGTGTGTTTTTCTGAACTTTCCAAGTTCTCTATAATGAGCATCTGTTACATTTATATTCAACAAAAATAAGTTACTTTGAGTTTTTGAAGAATTGTTTCAAGTGTGTGGAGGGTCTCTAAGCAGCGTGCTGAGCTCCAAGCATAGGATTACAGAGGCTGCTGCTTCTTTTATATCTGATCCTGGAGTCCGTTTCTAAATGCATCATAAGATACCCTGCAGTGCACTGGGGACCCAAACGTGCTCCTGGAAAAAAATGACGGGGCCCCTTTGCAGGCACCTACCTTTATATTTAGGTGGACTCCTCTGACTTCTTTTAGTTGTCCTAGGGCTTGAAGAGAGAGGTATTTTCGTGCTGAATGAAAAAATTGCTAGTATTTGATGTGCACACACTTTCAGCTTGCTTTCTCAATCCAGGCTAATGTATGGTATTGTCGGACTCAGAGCCGGGAGATGGGCCAAAATGTAGTGATTGCAAAGAGGCCTCTGGTGGTCCCTCAAGATACGGTCTTCTATCCTAGAAAGAACCTTCTCGGACCATGCTGTCCAGCACCCAACCACAGCAGAGTGGAAGGGGAAAGAATGCTGACTCACTCTTTCCTTGGGCATCTAAGATACTTTGGCCGGCTAGACACTGTCTACAGGCTGAACTTAAGGGATCCCAGGGCACCTTTCTTTTCCCCAGCCTCAACTCCCTTTTTCTTGGTGAATGGTTCTCTTCTTTTCCATGACACTAAAACTCAGCTCATTTCAGGTTTTAGCAGGATGCATCTCTGGCCTGGAGAGAACCCAGATTATACATTTAATGGAACGTCGTGTTTTCTCAACCAGGAGCAAGACTTCATAATGATAACCTAGACTACCACAGTAACACAATAGGGCATTATTAGCGGCTTTGGCGAAAGGGCTGGTGGACTGGGCTTCACAAGGCTTTATACTGATGGAATTTCATGTTCATTTAAACATGCTTTTCTGGTTACAGTCAGGAAAAGTAGATTGCTGGGAATTCAATCAGGGATTTGAAAAGTCAGATTTGGAAGGCCCTATGCAGAGAAAAAACAGGCAAAGAGCAGCTAGGCTCCTTGAAGTCTTCCAGGGGTCCTCTAAGATTAATGTGCCCTGTTGACTGACCCACGGACATAAAGATACCTTTCCTTTCTCCCAGGGCTCCTCTGTCATGACACTATACATTTATGTATCGTATATTGATCGATTTTATAGGGAACGATTAGTTACATCATTGGAAAAATTGGTTTCTCCATCCTGAGTCTTGGGGAAGGGCTGGCTCTATTCATGTGTGCCCTAAAGACTTCAAAAACAGATGGTGTCAATAGCAGAAGGAGTAGAGGAGATGGTGGGCTGGAGGGGACAGTAAGCACTAAAAAGCTTTATTGACAGGACCTTCCAAAGCCACAGCCTGCCACCAATATATACTTATATTTGTAAAGGCCCTCTGCAGGCCTAGCATTGGTCCCTTTCCCATTAGAGCCCCCGAACTCCTCCCTTTGCTCTTTCCTTGCTGTCCAGCCCATTTTCTTTCTCTCCTCCCCATGCAAGAGGACCCCATCTTGGCGCTCAGAATTCCACCCTCAGCACCACAACCAGATGATCCCCGAGTGGAGATGATCTGTAGGACCACTGCTCTGTGTACCTCTCCAGGGCCATGATCATTAGACAGATGTTTGTAGCATTAGCCTGGGAACTTCACCGCCGGGTATGGTATCGTTTTCCTGAGAAAATACCTCCGGGTTCCCAACTACTGACTTAGAAAAGAAATCTTTAGAACAGAATCAAAGTCTCCCCACACTTACACATTCTCACAGGTGCCGCGAAGACAAGCTTGCTTGGTAGCTAAGGCAAGGACTGATGTCCCTA